TTACATTGCACAGATTGGAGATCAATTGAAAAACAACAGAAAGTAAAGCTTTATATGGTGAAAATACAAAGAAACGAAAGATTATGGAGGCTATTGACATCATTGCAGGAACAAATGTAATGAACAGGAAATTCGAATATGGCAGTTAGCGATATTTTTATCTATTGCTTAAGCGGACTAGGGGAAAACAGAGCTACGGCAAGATCTGCAAAAAGGAGATTCCTGTATTAAGGACGCTTCGACAACTGAACAAAAAGGGATCGCAAAGAAGAAGATGACGAGGAAGTTTGGGAAATCAAACGAAGACGTTCTCCTTGAGTGTAGTCTGCTGGAAGAAACAACTATGTATTTGTGGTCTTTGAGTGTCCGCCACAAGAATTCGGCCTTAACCAAATTGACGAGAAATCCACTCGAGAGGTGGCAGGCCATCAGAGATAGAGGTGCCCAGTTTGCTCATGGTACACGGGTTTAAGCAAGGAGATGATGCGTAAAGGCATTGTCTGCTATCCAGAAGCATGAGAATCAGCGCCTAGGCAGCATTGTACATGCTACTAAGGGCTTGAGAAATAGGGCCTGAAGCAAAGCATACACGGTGAATTGGCCAACGTGAAATCGTTCAACCAAAAAGATAAGAAATGAATATGCGGGTCCATAAGACAGAACCGGATTGGAGGCCCTAGTCGGATCAGCCACTCGCAAGGTAGGGGAGCAAGGCAAACAGCAGGAGTGATGACGCCAAAATAAATTCCCCATAGGGCACACCTCTTGAGGACTGGAATATGAACAAGTCAGAAGTTGTGATAGAGCGGGAGTGGCACAAGAGTGTGTAGTCAGTAGATAGAGGAGATAGGACAGAAAGAGGAGTGATAGAACAACCGTTTCGGCAGAAAGTTTTGAAATATAACTACTACAGCATAGGACTTGGTACAAGGTGCGTCCAACTAAGTTGCCCTGACAACACGAACAAGTTGCGAAAGCGATTTCAGACCACATATAGTTCTCTAAAGAAGAGTTCGGCCAAAATAGAGGCCATAGCATCTTGGTCTTCGTATCCAAAAGAGTCCTATAGTTAAAGGGAAAATCTTACTATCATTCCTTAAATTCTTTTTGGGAACTACGGAGATGAAGTCCTTATTCATGCTTTACTTATAGTATCTAAGCCTACTTGAATCTAAAATAGACAAGAGAAGAATGAAAATTGAAAAGACGTACCGATGTGACTAAAACGTAAACTCTGAGATCGAATTTTCTGTCAGCAATCAGATACGGTGTATCGATGTAACGAGAAACAACGTATGTCTCCGGAGCTTCTCGTATCTGCCCGTCTCCAGATGCCTGTAGCTCAATCTAAAAAAAGATAAATGCAGAATTCAAACACAGCACTTTTTCTCTTTAATTAATTTTATACAAACATACACAGATACCACATTAATTATATTGCCAAGCACAATCTCGACCATTCTAACGTGATAACATGCCAAGAGAGATACAAATCATTTCAGAAGCATCGTCGATGACAGTCAAGCGAAGAGTAGTCATATAAGCATTATTTTTCTATGTAAGTAGAGTTTCGAGACTAGCAGTTTCCATTGAATTTCACATAGTCTTGCTTTCCCATAAGTTGTTCTCATCCCGGCTGAAGTGGACTACAGTTTCGACCTGGCATAGGTCTTATCAACACGCCCAGCGGGAGTCGAACCGTGACAGTGCAGCATGTGAGCTTGACATGTTAACCACTAGGCTATATTGCCACGAGTGTGCTTGGGTCACAGGGCAGATGTGAATTTCAAGGAAGGCCAGGCCTTTTCCCATATCACATTTTTTGGTGGGATTGTCGATGAAGCAAACGTATTTTTGCTTTAACAACCGACTACGTTACTTACTTCTCGTATGTAAGTAGGGTTTCGAGACTACCAGTAAATCAGTAATATGAAATGTAAGTATTATATGATTTAAC